TTCCATACAAAACATTCAGGTTCAACTTGTTCCTAAAAATTGTATTCACTCTTCAACTTTGAAAATTTTCACAATGTTGAATTTTTTCGTGTTCGTGTTCTTCAGTTTATACTTTTTAATCTTCGTTTTCTTAAAAGGCGTTTTTTGGTGTCCTTCAATTTAAAATTTCATTCGCCTTCGTCTTAATACGTGCATTAAAATATTCATCACGAGTGTACATTTTTCTTCAATTTCTTCTATTATTTAGTGTTAATTTTTTGTATTTTTCTGTTTCAATACTATTGTAAATTTTTTCTTTTTTTTGTTGTACTGGCATCTTTTACGTATTTCGCAAACTAAACTTCTTCTCCTTTTTCCGTAGCGTCCCATTTCGTCTTCTTTTTCTCATTTGCAATCCTATTGCCAAAAATTAAATTTTGTCTACAAAAAATTCTTCATTCTTCAATTTTTTTGCCCTCTATTGATGTTAATGGTTTCTTCTGATTTCTAAATAATGTCATAGAGATATATTAATTTTGTGCAAGTACTAGCCCCGCCCACCCGCCCTTTATTTTCTTAAAAGACGTTTTTTCTGTGTTCTTCAATTCATAGTTCGTATATAAAAATACATATTTACCAGGAGTATATATTTTCTTCAATTTGTCCCATTATTTATGCTAATTTTTTTTGGATTCTTCTGTTTTAGTTTTGTTGCAAAAATTTTCTTTACTTGTTTTACTTTCATCTTTCAATTGCTTGGCAAACTAAATTTCTCGTTTTTTTCTGTGTTGTCCCATATTATAATTTTTTTTCTGTTTCGATTCTATTGACAAAACTTAAATTTTGCCTGCGAAAAATTCTTCACTTTTCAATTTTTTACTCTGCTATTGTTTCCAATGATTTCTTCTTTCAAATATAGATATATCAGTTTTTCTTCATTTTCTTCATACATTTTTTGACATGCCTTTTGTGATTGACGTTCGACTTTTGAACTTTTCGATTTCATATATCATTTTGGTTTTCATCTGTAGATTCAAATCTTTGCTGTCTATCTGTATCTTCTATGATTTCTTCTATTGATTATTCTAGATTGTTTTGGTTTCTTGGTCGCTCAGTCGTAACAAAAAAATTGTTTTGATGGTTTTCCTGTCGCTGTTTCTTCGTAAATTCTTTCCTAAATCTAAACCTTTCATTTCGTAAAAATTGTATTCGTCTTTCAACTTCAAATCTTATCTTAATAAGGACAAGATTCGTCCACTCGCCCTTCGTTTTCTTAGAGAGTAGCTCATTTGACAAAATCAGTCTTATCTTGGCAAGTACTAGCCCCGCCCACCCGCCCTTTATTTTCTTAAAAGATGTTTTTTGTGTTCTTCAATTTAAAATGTTTATATTTTCTTCGAATTGTCTCATTATTTATGCTAAATTTTGTTGTATTATTCGGTTTCAGTTTTGTTGTAAAAATTTTCTTTACTTGTTTTACTTTCATCTTACAATTGCTTCGCAAACTAAATTTCTTGTCTTTTTCTGTGTTGTCCCATATTATAATTTTTTTTCTGCATTTCAATTCTATTGACAAAACTTAAATTTTGTCTGCAAAAAATTCTTCACTTTTCAATTTGTTACTCCCCTATTGTTTTCAATGATTTCTTCTTTCAAATATAGACATATCAGTTTTTCTTCATTTTTTCATACATTTTTTGACATGCCTTTTGTGATTGACGTTCGACTTTCGAATTTTTCGGTTTCATATATCATCTTGGTTTTCATCTGTAGATTCAAATCTTTGCTGTCTATCTGTATCTTCTATGATTTCTTCTATTGATTATTCTAGATTGTTTTGGTTTCTTGGTCGCTCAGTTGTAACAAAAAAATTGTTTTTCTGGTTTCCCTGCCGCTGTTTCTTCGTAAATTCTTTCCTAAATCTAAACCTTTCATTTCGTAAAAATTGTATTCGTCTTTCAACTTCAAATCTTACCTTAATAAGGACTAGATCCGTCCACTTTCCTTTCATTTTCTTAGAAAGTAGCTTATTTGACAAAATCAGTCTTATCTTGGCAAGTATTAGCCCCGCCCACCCGCCCTTTATTTTCTTATAAGACATTTTTTGTGTTCTTCAATTTAAAATTTTTATATTTTCTTCAAATTGTCTCATTATTTATGCTAAATTTATTTGTATTATTCTGTTTCAGTTTTGTTGTAAAAATTTTCTTTACTTGTTTTACTTTCATCTTTCAATTGCTTCGCAAACTAAATTTCTTGTCTTTTTGTGTGTTGTCCCATATTATTTTTTTTTTCTTCATTTCAATTCTATTGACAAAACTTAAATTTTGCCTGCGAAAAATTCTTCCCTTTTCAATTTTTTACTCCACTATTGTTTTCAATGATTTCTTCTTTCAAATATAGATATATCAGTTTTTCTTCATTTTCTTCATACATTTTTTGACATGCCTTTTGTGGTTGACGTTCGACTTTTGAATCTTTCGATTTCATATATCATCTGTAGATTCAATTCTTTGCTGTCAATCTGCATCTTCTATGATTTCTTCTATTGATTATTCTAGATTGTTTTGGTTTCTTGGTCGCTCAGTTGTAACAAAAAAATTGTTTTTTCTGGTTTCCTTGTCGCTGTTTCTTCGTAAATTCTTTCCTAAATCTAAACCTTTCATTTCGTAAAAATTGTATTCGTCTTTCAACTTCAAATCTTATCTTAATAAGGACTAAATCCGTCCACTTTCCTTTCATTTTCCTAGAGAGTAGCTTATTTGACAAAATCAGTCTTATCTTGGCAAGTACTAGCCTCACCCACACGCCCTTTATTTTCTTATAAGACGATTTTTGTGTTCTTCAATTTAAAATTTTTATATTTTCTTCGAATTGTCTCATTATTTATGCTAAATTTTGTTATATTGTTCGGTTTCAGTTTTGTTGTAAAAATTTTCTTTACTTGTATTACTTTCATCTTTCAATTGCTTCGCAAACTAAATTTCTTGCCTTTTTCTGTGTTGTCCCATATTGTATTTTTTTTTCTGTATTTCAATTCGATTGACAAAACTTAAATTTTGTGTGCGAAAAATTCTTCACTTTTCAATTTTTTACTCCGCTATTGTTTTCAATGATTTCTTCTTTCAAATATAGATATATCAGTTTTTCTTCATTTTTTTCATACATATTTTGACATGCCTTTTGTGGTTGACGTTCGACTTTTGAATCGTTCGATTTCATATATCATCTGTAGATTCAATTCTTTGCTGTCTATCTGCATCTTCTATGATTTCTTCTATTGATTATTCTAGATTGTTTTGGTTGCTTGGTCGCTCAGTTGTAACAAAAAAATTGCTTTTCTGGTTTCCCTGTCGCCGTTTCTTCGTAAATTCTTTCCTAAATCTAAACCTTTCATTTCGTAAAAATTGTATTCATCTTTCAACTTCAAATCTTATCTTAATAAGGACAAGATTCGTCCACTCGCCCTTCATTTTCTTAGAGAGTAGCTCATTTGACAAAATCAGACTTATCTTGGCAAGTACCACCCTCCCCACCCGCCCTTTATTTTCTTATAAGACGTTTTTTGTGTTCTTCAATTTAAAATTTTTATATTTTCTTCAAATTGTCTCATTATTTATGCTAAATTTTGTTGTATTATTCGGTTCCAGTTTTGTTGAAAAAATTTTCTTTACTTGTTTTACTTTCATCTTTCAATTGCTTCGCCCCGCCCATTATTTCCTTAGAGAGTATACCATTTGGTAAAACCAGTCTTATCTCAGCAAGCACTAGCCCCGCCCACCCGCCCTTTATTTTCTTAGACGATATGTTATTTGCCAAAATCAGTCTTATCTCAGCAAGTATTAGCCCCGCCCACCCGCCCTTTATTTTCTTATAAGACGTTTTTTGTGTTCTTCAATTTAAAATTTTTATATTTTCTTCAAATTGTCTCATTATTTATGCTAAATTTATTTGTATTATTCTGTTTCCGTTTTGTTGTAAAAATTTTCTTTACTTGTTTTACTTTCATCTTTCAATTGCTTCGCCCCGCCCATTATTTCCTTAGAGAGTATACCATTCGGTAAAATCAGTCTTATCTCAGCAAGCACTAGCCCCGCCCACCCGCCCTTTAATTTCTTACACGATATGTTATTTGCCAAAATCAGTCTTATCTCAGCAAACACTAGCCCCGCCCACCCGCCCTTTATTTTCTTATAAGACGTTTATTGTGTTCTTCTATTTAAAATTTTTATATTTACTTCAAATTGTCTCATTATTAATGCTAAATTTCTTTGTATTATTCTGTTTCAGTTTTGTTGTAAAAATTTTCTTTACTTGTTTAACTTTCATCTTTCAATTGCTTCGCAAACTAAATTTCTTGTATCTTTCTTTGTCGTCCCATATTATATATTTTTTTTCTATTTCAATTCAAACTTAAATTTTGTCTGCAAAAAATTCTTCACTCTTCAATTTTTTACTCCTCTATTGTTTTCAATATTTTTTGACATTCGTTTTGTGACTGATGTTCGACTTTTGAGTTTTTCGATTTCATATGTCATCTTGGTTTTTATCTGTAAATTAAAATCTGTATATCTGTAACCTTTTCTATGGTTGTTTTTCTGGTTTCACTTTTGTTGTTTCTTCGTAAATTCTTTAACTTTTAAATTTATTATGTTCATATTCTTCAGTTTATCGTTTTTTATTTGCGTTCCATTATTAGACTTTTTGTTCATCTGGCTTACAGAAAACACAAAATTTTGTGTTTCTTTTTTCTCTGCTTAGATACTTGGACCTTAGAACGCATTTGGTGCTCAATAAGCAAAATGCATACACTAAAAACCACCGGCCCTCAAGTTGACCCCTGAGGTACCCCTCGACCTCGGCGCTCGAAACGCGCCTACTTTCCGCCCAACTGTGCAATTTTCGCCGAATAACGATAATCCCTTAGCGCCTTTGCGACACCTACCATCACCTACGACCTTCACTTTTATCAACAGCATCGGGCCCTAAGCGGCGCCCTTCTCACTCCGTTCTTGTTGCAGCAACCGCTCGGTGCCGTCATGGATTCGCGCATCGGCCTGGACTTCATCGTCGAGAACCCCGAGTACATCAGGAAGCTGGCGGCGGCCCTCGACACCAGCAACATCACCGTGAAGAAGCAGGTCTTCGAGCTGCTGTCCGCGCTGTGCGTGCACAACGAAGAGGGTCACGCTCGCGCCCTTGACACTTTGGAGCATTACAAGGTCCGTGAGTCACATTGTTGCATTACGGATAATTGACCCCCAACATGCCATCAACACGCCTCGACGCACCATCTGCCCGATTTTCGGGCGAAATCGGGGCCCGGAGGCGGCGCAGCGGCCGCAGACGGCGCGGATGGGTCGGGCTGGGGGCAAGTGGGCGTCTGTTTGAGCGCGAGTTAGAGGAAGTGATTGATTTTGGCCTTTTTCGAGCTCGCACCTCGGTGTCGAGGCCTTCGTCTAGGAGTTGTTTGTATTTACATAAAGTGGAAAGCTGTTGGCTTAAGGTGGAATTTCACCGGGAGATGATAATGGTGACGAGGTTTGCTCGAAAAGACCAAAAGCGAGCGCTTTGGTGTTGATGGTGTAGGGGAAGTAAAAAATTTTGACGTTGATTTTGTATCAAACCAAATGGGTTTTTTAGAAACTAAAAGGTGAGAGATATAGACTGAACGTGATAGTCCAAGAACTGGATCAAGCAACAGCGGTAGATTACCAAACAGCCCTTGTAGCCTTCATCAATTGTCTGATCATTTCCACGCCCAGACTGACGGACCGGATTAGACGACGAAACGAATTCATAGGTGAGTAAAACATCAAAAGATTCTATTAACAAGCTGATGATTTAAATGAAATTTGCGCCGAAATATCCTAATTGAATAAGCTTGTACTACATCAGAGTTTCTCCGTTGAAACGAAAGCATTTTTGCGCTGCGGGCTAAACATTCTTTGAATGATTAGATCAAATAAACATATTAATGTGTTGTACTTAAATATTATTCGCAGTGACGTGCTTTTCCATAAACGGTCGAGAATTGCTTCCTTCTAGAGTATGAAGATTTAGAATTACGTAATGTGCATGTGGTAGGCGCCGGTGGGTTTTATGCAAAGTGCGACATTTTTTCTGGGTTACGTTCTTTGGACAACTGGCAGTTCGCAGGAATTTGTGTGATAAATGTGAAATGTAAATTGCTAATAATTTTTTTATGTACGTAACGAGTCGGAGGAATTTAACGACTTTGATGTAAAAACGCGAACGCAATATATTTCTTAATTATTTCAATTAAACACATTTTTATGCAAGGTTCTCTAGAGAAAAAAAATGCATTAAGACATAAGACGGTTGCCTAAAAATCCACAAAAAAAAATGGATAGAAGATTTTTCAAATTCTTTCAGAAATAAAAGACAAAGAACCTCGAAGATTCTTTCATATTCCTGAAAAACGAACACTAAGCTCCCAAGGACTCTTTCAAAGTTTTTCAAAAACGGAACACCAGAGGTCCCTAAGGATTTTTGAACTTCTTTCAGAAATAAAACACGACCGTGAAGAGTCTTTGAAGCTCTTTAAAAAAGAAAAGATACTAGGAAAGGCTAAGATTCTTTCCAACTCTTTCGCAAAAGCACCACCAAGCGCCCCAGAATTCTTTCAAACATTTTCGAAAACATAACACCAAAGGTGCACGAGGAATTTTCCGGTTCTTTCAAAAATAAAACAGAAGAGATTTCGAAGACTCCTTGACATTCTTTAAAGATAATCTACTAGGAATCCCTAAGATTCTTTCAAATTCTTAAGAAATAAACACCCGCAGATTTCTTCAAATTCTTTCATAAATTCCAGTGCTCGCTGAAGTTTTTTCAAATTCTTTCAGAAATTAAACACAACGGGCTCTGAAAATTTTTTCGCAATCTTAAAAAAAGATATTAAAATTCCTCCAGGTTGTTTCAAGTACTTTAAAAAAATACTAAAGACCACGAAATTGATTCAATTTCTTTCAAAAATAAAGCACAAGAAGCTTCGAAGATTCTTTTATATTAAAAAAAAAAAATACACTACATGCCCTGAGATTCTTACAAACTCTTCCGAAAACAAAACACCAGGGGTCTCTGAAGACTTTTCAAATTCTTTCAGAAATAAAACACAAAGAGCCTCGAAGATTTTTGCATATTCTTGAAAAACGAACACTAGGCTACCAAAGACTCTTTCAAAGTTTTTCAAAAATAAAACACCAGAGGTCCCTGAGGATTATTGAACTTCTTTCAGAAATAAAACACGACCGTGAAGATTCTTTGAAGCTCTTTAAAAAAGAAAAGATACTAGGAAAGGCTAAGATTCTTTCCAACTCTTTCACAAAAGCACCACCAAGCGCCCCAGAATTCTTTCAAACTTTTTCAAAAACATAACACCAAAGGTGCACGAGGGATTTTCTAGTTCTTTCAAAAATAAAACACAAGAGATTTCGAAGACTCCTTGACATTCTTTAAAGATAATCTACTAGGAATCCCTAAGATTCTTTCAAATTCTTAAGAAATAAACACCCGCAGATTTCTTCAAATTCTTTCAAAAATTCCAATGTTCGCTGAAGATTTTTCAAATTCTTTCAGAAATTAAACACAAGGGGCTCTGATAATTCTTTCGCAATCTTAAAAAAAGATATTAAAATTCCTCTAGGTTCTTTCATGCAGTAAAGACCACGAGATTTATTCAATTTCTTTCAAAAATAAAACACAAGAGATTTCGAAGACTCCTTAAAGATAACGTACTAGGAATCCCTAAAAGTCTTTCAAACTCTTCAAAAATAAACACCTGAAATTTTTTTCAAATTCTTTCAAAATAAAAAAAATACCACTGGTCCCCGAAGATTTTTCAGTCTTTCAGAAATTAAACCTAGGTAGCACTGAAGAATATTTCACATTGTTTAAAAAACAGACACCAGAGGTCCTCGAACTCTTAAAAGAAAAAGACAAAATTCGATGAGATTCTTTTAACATTCTTTCAAAACAAAACACAATATTCTTTCAAAAAAGACACTAGGAATCCGAAACACAAGAGATCTCGAAGACTCTTTTACATTATTTAAAAATAATGCATTATGAATCCCTAAAATTTTTTCAAATTCTTTCAAAATAAAAAAAAATACCACTGGTCCCCGAAGATTCTTCAGTCTTTTCAGAAATTAAACCCAGGGAGCACTGAAGATTATTTCACATTCTTTAAAAAAGAGACACCAGAGGTCCTCAATGTTTAAAAAAAAAAGACAAAATTCGATGAGATTCTTTTAAAATTCTTTCAAAACAAAACACAATGTTCTTTCAAAAAAGACACTAGGAATCCGCAAACACAAGAGATCTCGAAGACTCTTTCACATTATTTAAAACTAATGCATTATGAAACCCTAAAATTTTTTCAAACTCTTTAAAAGTAAGCACCCGGAAATTTTTTCAAATTCTTTCAAAATAAAAAAATACCACTGGTCCCTGAAGATTTTTCAGTCTTTTCAGATATTAAACCCAGGGAGCACTAAAGGTTACTTCACATCCTTTAAAAAATAGACACCAGAGGTGCTCAAACTCTTTAAAAAAAAGACAAAATTCGATGAGATTCTTTTAAAATTCTTTCAAAACAAGACAATATTCTACCAAAAAAGACACTAGGAATCCCCAAACACAAAAGATCTCGAAGACTCTTTCACATTATTTAAAAATAATGCATTATGAATCCCTAAAATTTTTTCAAACTCTAGGAAATTTTTTCAAATTCTTTCAAAATAAAAAAAAATCCAATGGTCCCCGAAGATTTTTCAATCTTCTCTGAAATGAAACCCAGGGAGCACTGAAGATTTTTTCACATTCTTTAAAAAAGAGACACCAGAGGTCCTAAACTCTTAAAAAAAAGACAAAATTTGATGAGATTCTTTTAAAATTCTTTCAAAACAAAACACAATATTCTTTCAAAAAAGACACTAGGAATCCCCAAACACAAAAGATCTCGAAGACTCTTTCACATTATTTAAAAATAATGCATTATGAATCCCTAAAATTTTTTCAAACTCTTTCAAAGTAAGCACCCGGAATTTTTTTTAAATTTTTTCAAAATAAAAAAAATACCACTGGTCCCCGAAGATTTTTCAGTCTTTTCAGAAATTAAACCCAGGGAGCACTGAAGATTATTTCACATTCTTTAAAAAAGAGACACCAGAGGTCCTCAACTGTTTAAAAAAAAAAGACAAAATTCGACGAGATTCTTTTAAAATTCTTTCAAAACAAAACACAATGTTCTTTCAAAAAAGACACTAGGAATCCGCAAACACAAGAGATCTCGAAGACACTTTCACGTTATTTAAAACTAATGCATTATGAAACCCTAAAATTTTTTCAAACTCTTTAAAAGTAAGCACCCGGAAATTTTTTCAAATTCTTTCAAAATAAAAAAATACCACTGGTCCCTGAAGATTTTTCAGTCTTTTCAGATATTAAACCCAGGGAGCACTAAAGGTTACTTCACATTCTTTAAAAAATAGACACCAGAGGTGCTCAAACTCTTTAAAAAAAAAGACAAAATTCGATGAGATTCTTTTAAAATTCTTTCAAAACAAGACAATATTCTACCAAAAAAGACACTAGGAATCCCCAAACACAAAAGATCTCGAAGACTCTTTCACATTATTTAAAAATAATGCATTATGAATCCCTAAAATTTTTTCAAACTCTTTAGGAAATTTTTTCAAATTCTTTCAAAATAAAAAAAAAATCCAATGGTCCCCGAAGATTTTTCAATCTTCTCTGAAATTAAACCCAGGGAGCACTGAAGATTTTTTCACATTCTTTAAAAAAGAGACACCAGAGGTCCTAAACTCTTAAAAAAGAGACAAAATTTGATGAGATTCTTTTAAAATTCTTTCAAAACAAAACACAATATTCTTTCAAAAAAGACACTAGGAATCCCCAAACACAAAAGATCTCGAAGACTCTTTCACATTATTTAAAAATAATGCATTATGAATCCCTAAAATTTTTTCAAACTCTTTCAAAGTAAGCACCCGGAATTTTATTTAAATTTTTTCAAAATAAAAAAAATACCACTGGTCCCCGAAGATTTTTCAGTCTTTTCAGAAATTAAACCCAGGGAGCACTGAAGATTATTTCACATTCTTTAAAAAAGAGACACCAGAGGTCCTCAACTGTTTAAAAAAAAAAGACAAAATTCGATGAGATTCTTTTAAAATTCTTTCAAAACAAAACACAATGTTCTTTCAAAAAAGACACTAGGAATCCCCAAACACAAGAGATGTCGAACTCTCTCACATTATTTAAAAATAATGCATTATGAATCCCTAAAATCTTTTCAAACTCTTTAAAAGTAAGCACCCGGAAATTTTTTCAAATTCTTTTAAAATAAAAAAAAATACCACTGGTTCCCGAAGTTTTTTCAGTCTTTTCAGAAATTAAACCCAGGGAGCACTGAAGATTATTTCACATTCTTTAAAAAAGGGACACCAGAGGTCCTCAAACTCTTTAAAAAAAGACAAAATTCGATGAGATTCTTTTAAAATTTTTTCAAAACAAAACACAATATTCTTTCAAATAGGCACTAGGAATCCCCAAACACAAGAGATCTCGAAGACTCTTTCACATTATTTAAAAATAATGCATTATGAATCCTTAAAATTTTTTCAAACTCTTTAAAAGTAAGGACCCGGAAATTTTTTCAAATTCTTTCAAAATAAAAAAAAACAGGGGTCGCCGAAGATTTTTCAATTTTTTCAGAAATTAAACCCAGGGAGCACTGAAGATTATTTCGCATTCTTTAAAAAAGAAACACCAGAGGTCCTCAAACTCTTTAAAAAAAAAAACAAAATTCGATGAGATTCTTTTAAAATTTTTTCAAAACAAAACACAATATTCTTTCAAATAGGCACTAGGAATCCCCAAACACAAGAGATCTCGAAGACTCTTTCACATTATTTAAAAATAATGCATTATGAATCCTTAAAATTTTTTCAAACTCTTTAAAAATAAGCACCCGGAAATTTTTTCAAGTTCTTTCAAAATAAAGAAAATATCACTGGTCCCCGAAAATTTTTCAGTCTTTTCAGAAATTAAACCCAGGTAGCACTGAAGATTATTTCACATTCTTTAAAAAAGAGACACCAGAGGTCCTCAAACTCTTTAAAAAAAAAAGACAAAATTCGATGAGATTCTTTTAAAATTCTTTCAAAACAGAACACAATATTCTTTCAAAAAGACACTAGGAATCCCAAACACAAGAGATCTCGAAAACTCTTTCACATTGTTTAAAAATAATGCATTATGAATCCCGGAAATTTTTTCAAATTCTTTTAAAATAAGAAAAAATACCACTGGTCCCCGAAGATTTTTCAGTCTTTTCAGAAATTAAACCCAGGGAGCACTGAAGATTATTTCACATTCTTTAAAGAAGGGACACCCGAGGTCCTCAAACTCTTAAATAAAAAGACAAAATTCGATGAGATTCTTTTAAAATTCTTTCAAAACAAAACGCAATATTATTTCAAAAAAGACACTGGGAATCCCCAAACACGAGAGTTCTCGAAGACTCTTTCACATTATTTAAAAATAATGCATTATGAATCCCTAAAAATTTTTCAAACTCTTTAAAAGTAAGCACCCGGAAATTTTTTCAAATTCTTTCAAAATAAAAAAAATTCCACTGGTTCCCGAAGATTTTTCAGTTTTTTCACGAAGTACACCATTCTTTAAAAAAGAGACACCAGAGGTCCTCAAACTGTTTAAAAAAAAAAAGACAAAATTCGATGAGATTTTTAACTATTTTAATTATAACAAACCACCAGGAACAATGAATAAAAAATTACATAACCCAGAACCTGGCATCGGAAGTTTTGTTTTAAATTTAGGAATCGATTAAGTATTTAAATTGAATGTAATATGAGTAGTTATTACCAAATAATTTCTAAATGAACGATTTGAATTAATCTTGTGGGACGCGTTAAACCAGTTTTGTGTAAAATGTAAAACTACAGTGCTTTTTCTGAATAAGGTTAACACTTTTTAATGAAGATTCCGATTAATAAGTACCAACATCCAGAAGGTTCAGAACCACTTAGTCCACACATATTATTAGTATTACATTAACCCATATACGGTTAAAACATTGCCAGATACAACCAAAAGATAACGAAATTTATGAGCTTTGTAAGCACTCTCTGTGATTCATTTAATTACAACTCCGGTTAATTCCTAAAAATCCGAATTTTAACGAGGTCTGTGCAGGTTAACTTGAAAGTCATCCTGATAGAATCAAATATGAAAATAAACGAATGGGAGCATGGTCACAGTTTATCTACAAATTTAGTCCGTCTGAAACAGCCCAGATTATCATAACATGTATAAGACGATGTTTGCTAGAAAACAAGGAATAAATTACAATTTTAAATTGGACGAACCTCATGTTACATACACTTGTTTCTACATCAGTACCTTGTAAGCGACACTCATCTCCTAACAAATACCCACATTCTAATCGCTCCCAACGTGATAAATCTCCCTACAAAAAATTAGTTAATCACACTGTTAGCATATTAATTTAATAATCGCGCCACATTAATATTCATTTAAAAATTTGTAATTCGAGATTTCCAAGAGAGGTAGAACGACTTTGAAGATATTATCTGTCCTGTTTGTGAGACCGCACCTGATTTAGATAAAATATCTAATTTTAATGCAAATGCGCTCAAATTATGGCCCCCAGGAGACAGATCCACACAGATACAGTTTTTAATAAATAGAGACACGTGAGTCGGTAGGCTGTTAAACTCCTGACTCACCTGCGAACACAAAAATTCCCTCCTTTGCGGTTCGATTTTCTGCTTAATTGACGTGTATGACTATACTTAAGCCGCCTACGACGCGCTGCACGACTTAAGTCAGGGTTGCTGGGGGGTCGTTAGCCCGGTTAGCCTCTTAATAGCTAAGCAAACATGAAAATCCCGTTAAGTCTTAATGAATCATTTTTTATTTATAACAATACGAAATCGTGATGTCTTCTTTTGGCTTGCCGGTTTACGTCAGTACAATGGTTGTCCGTGAATTCCGGGAAATTTCGTGCATTGTAAGCGACTTTCGTCAAATATTTGTATTCATGTGGATGTTTTTCCAGGATGTCATCTGCTTCCGGTGCTCAACAACCTAAGGTATGTCGACGGTAAATAAGTACACTCTGAAACAGTTCCAAGCGTTCACCTTGACTCAAGAACTAAACAAATTTGCTTTAAAAAGTGTATTTTTACTCAATTACTCGTTTAAATGGTTTAGAAAATGCGCCGAGGCCGAGCCCGAGCTCGCCGTCCAACTCGACGTCTTCGACGAGCAGCGCGAAAGCGATGACGCCCAGAGCCTCCAAGGCCCCCACGGCGTCGACCTCAACTCCCCGCTTGACGTCTTCTACGCCATCCTCAAGCAAGTCGCCGAGACGCCGCAAGAAATCCCCTTCCTTAGCATCCTCCAGCACCTCCTCCGCATCGACCCCAAAGACGCCATCAGCGACATCATCTGGGACACCGCCGAGCGGCTGGTGCATCGAGCCACCCTATTGGAGAACCGCGAGGACGCCGCCCGCCTTCTGCGCGCCCCCAGCGCCCAATCGAAGTTCTTCTGCCACTGCCACTTGCGCTCGGAATCCAGCCCCACGCGGAGACAGTCGCTGAACACGCCCCAGAGCCCCACCCCGCTCCCGCCTTCACCGCTAGGACAACCTCTGCCTCCGCCCCCTCCGCCTCCGCCTAACATTCCAGCCCCGCCTTCGATCCCTCCGCCGGTCCCGGCTCCGCCCCTCATGCAACAAAAGGCGGCGGCGCCCAAACCCCCGCCCGAAAGCGATACTGTGATAGCGAAATTGCCGCAGCAGGAGATCCCGGCGCCGAAGATCAAAATGAAAACGTTCAATTGGAACAAAATCCCGAACAATAAGGTGGTGGGGAAGAATAATATTTGGACGCAGGTGGCCTACACGCACCAGCACTCGCCGATGGCCGACATGGATTGGCTCGAAATGGAGGGGCTGTTCTGTCAGCAAGGCCCGCCCACGCAAGCCACGCCCGGAAAAGTACGGGAAGTGGGCGCAACAGATTCACTCGATAGAAGAATGAGAAAAGAAAACTGCGAGATCACGCTCCTGGATGGCAAAAGAAGCTTAAACGTTAACATTTTCCTAAAACAATTTAGAAGGTAGGGTCAATAAATTAGCCGAAACAAAATTAAAAAGGGTTTTTTTTTAGTTCAAACGAAGACATAATCCAGTTGATTAAAGACGGAGAACACGACGATATAGGTGCCGAGAAGCTCAAAGGTCTCTTGAAGATTTTACCAGAAGTGGACGAACTAGACATGTTAAAGTCGTTCAATGGGGACTTTAATAAACTCGGAAACGCGGAAAAATTCCTGATCCAACTGACCAACCTACCAAAGTAAAAATTGTACCATAACTAGTACCACCACTCAATATTTTATTTTAGTTACAAACTAAGGATAGAAAGTATGCTTTTGAAGGAGGAATTCGCCTGCAACATGAGTTATCTCGAACCCAGTATTAAATCAATGATCATGGCAGCTCAAGGTTTGTACCCGACGTACGACGGTTCTAAATCTCATTTGTCTGAATTTTAGACCTGATGACTAACAAACCTCTAAAGGAAGTTCTCTACATGATCCTTGTAGCAGGAAACTTTCTAAACGCGGTAACTATCAATATCAAACCTACCCACTTCCAATGATCAATTTGGTTTTAGGGTGGTTACGCTGGTAATGCGGCAGGTGTCAAACTGACCTCCTTACAAAAATTGACCGACATCAGGGCCAACAAACCAAACATGAACCTAATCCACTTCGTAGCCCTCGTAAGTAAACTATCTTGACTGTTGTTACCACAAAAATTTACAATTTCAGACATGTTTTAAGTTTCTTGTCGAAATAAGTCTACACACATTAAGAAAAAAAGGGAAAAAATTAAGCCCGCCCACCCGCCCTATCTCAATTGTGATGATTTTTTTTATTCGTCGTGAGTCAAGACGGCTTAGCTTAACTGCAAAATCCTCATTTTTCTAGGAGAAATTAAAAGCATGTTTTTGAGTGTCGTCTTATTCAAAGAGTACTATGTACTATGTATATTAAGAAAAAAATAAAGCCAAAGATTTTTTCATTCGTTGTCAGATCGAGGGGCGGGGCTTAATTGCAAAATCCATATTTGCCTACAAGATTTTACCATTTTACACGTGTTTTAAGTTTCTAAGAGTAAAAAAATAATCACAATTGAGATGGGGTGGGTGGGCGGGGTTTATATTTTGCCATTTTTATATATACATCGTATTCTTTTAACAACACAATACTCAAAAATATGTTTTTAATTTCTTGTAAAAAAATAAGTATTTACAGATAAGCTTCGCCCCCTCGATTCACAACGAATAAAAAAAATTATCAGAATTGAAATAGGGTGAGTGGGCGGGGCTTTAATTTTCCCTTTTGGTTTCAATATGTGTAGACTTCTTTTCACAACAAGAAACTTAAAACATATTTAAAATGGAAACTTTGTATACGGAAATATCGATTTTGCAATTAGGCTCCGCCCCATTATTGCAAAATCCATATTTCCTTAGAAAAATGTACCATTTTAACCATGTTTTGAGTTTCTTCTTATCAAAAGATGGCTATACGTATGTTAAGAAAAAAAAAGGCAAAATATAAGCCCCATAAATTCTGATGATTTTTTTATTCATCGTTAGCCGAGGGGCGGAACTTAATTGTAAAATCCTTATTTTTCTACGAGAAATTACCATGTGAAATATGTTCTTAAGTAATCGTGTTATACACAGAAAACTAAATGTATTAATTAAAAAGGAAAACCAAAAGAGAAGCCCCACCCATACCCGCCCCGATCTCAATTCTCAATTGTGCTGAATTTTTCATTCGTTGTCAGACCGAGGGGCGGAGCGTAATTACAAAATAGATATTTCCCTATACAAATTTACAATTTTAGACACGTTTTAAGTTTCTTGTTGTCGAAATAAGTCTACACATATTAAGAAAAAAAGGCAAGATTTAAGTCAGCCCGCCCACCCACCCTATCTCAATTGTAATGATTTTTTTATTCGTCGTGAGTCAAGAAGGCGGATCTTAACTGCAAAATCCTTATTGCTCTACGAGAAATTAAAAACATGTTCTTGAGTATCGCGTTGTTCAAAAAATACTACGTATATTTAAAAAAAATCAAGCCAAATATTAAGCCCCACCCATATCCATCCCAAGCTCAATCGTGATGAATTTTTCATTCATTGCCAGACGAGGGGCGGAGCTTAATTGCAAAATCCATATTTCCTTATAAAAATTTACCATTTTAAACGTGTTTTAAGTTTCTAAGAATAAAAAAATCATCACAATTGAGACGGGGTGGGTGGGCGGGGTTTATATTTTGCCTTTTTTTAATTTACTTAGTAGATATTTCCCTATGCAACTTTACCATTTTAAACATGTTTTAAGTTTCTTGTTGTGAAAAGATGACTACACATATTAAGAAAAAGAGGCAAAATATAAGCCCCGCCCACCCACCCTATCTCAATTGTGATGATTTCTTTTATTCGTCGTGAGTCAAGAAGGCGGATCTTAACTGCAAAACCCTTATTTTTCTACAAGAAATTAAAAACATGTTTTTGAGTCTCAGCTTGTTCAAAGAATACTATCTATATTAGGAAAAAAATAAAGCCAAAGATTAGGCCCCACCCATACCCGCCCCTATCTCATTTCTCAATTGTGTTAAATTTTTCATTCGTTGTCAGATCGAGGGGCGGGCCTTAATTGCAAAATCCATATTTCCTTATAAAAATTTACCATTATAAACGTGTTTTAAGTTTCTAATAATAAAAAAATCATCACAATTGAGATGGGGTGGGTGGGCGGGGCTTATATTTTGCCTTTTTTTTTAATATGCATAGTATTCTTTGAACAACAAGATACTCAAAAACATGTTTTTAATTTCTTGTAAAGAAATAAGTATTTGCAGATAAGTTTCGCCCCCTCGGCTCACGACCAATAAAAAAATCATCAGAATTGAGATCGGGTGGGTGGGCGGGGCTTACATTTTGTCTTTTTGTTTCAATATGTGTAGACTTTCTTTCGCAACAAGAATCTTAAAACATGTTTAAAGTGGAACATTTGTATACGAAAATATCGATTTTGCAATTAAGTTCCGCCCCATAATCCATATTTTGTTGCAAAAACGTATCATTTGAACCATGTTTTGAGTTTCTTCTTGTGAAAAAATGGCCATATGTATGTTAAGAAAAAAAGGCAAAATATAAGCTCCACCCACCCGCCCTATCTCAATTCTGATTTTTATTCGTCGTAAGCCGAGGGGCGGAGCTTAATTGTAAAATCCTTAATTTTCTCCGAGAAATTACCACGTGAAATATGTTTTTAAGTGATCGTGTTATACAAAGAAAACTAAATGTATTAATTAAAAAAGAAAACCAAAAGAGAAGCCCCACCCATACCCACCCCGATCTCAATGCTCAATTGTGATGAATTTTTCATTCGTTGTCAGATCGAGGGGCGGGGCTTAATTGCGAAATTCATATTTGTCTACAAGAATTTACCATTTCTTGTTCTGAAAAGACGACTACGTATATTAAGGAAAAAGGCAAAATATAAGCCCCGCCCACCCGCCCTATCTCAATTGTGATGATTTTTTTATTCGTCGTGAGTCAAGAAGGCGGAGCTTAACTGCAAAATCCTTATTTCTATACTAAAAATTAAAAACATGTTTTTGAGTATCGTGTTGTTCAAAGAATACTATGAAAATAATGAGAAAAAATTAAAGCCAAAGATTAAATAGAAAAATAACGAAAGTAAAAAAGTCGCGAAAAATGCTACAAAAAAGACGACAAACAAACATACAAAAAAATATAAAAAAAACGACAAAAAACAGGGGACAAGAAAGGAAAACAAAGGTCAATAAAAAGAAGGTCGGAAAAAAGACGAAATAGGCAAAAAAAAGGTGGTTAATTGACCAAAAAGTAACAAAAAATTCCACAACAAAAAACACAAACAAACCGACAAAAAGGGGAAAGAAAAAATGGGAAATAAAGAAAATTCCGAAAATGTAAAAAACAAAGAAAAGCTATTCAAAAGAACAACAAACAGCCAAAAACGAGACGAAAAAAAAAGGGAAAAAATGCACAGAAAGAAGAAAAAACGACAAAAACATGTGATAAAAAAATAAAAGAAAACAAAGAAGATAAAAAAAGGCGACAACAATGACCTATTAAAAACAGGTCAAAAATGGGGAAAAAGACGAAAAAAAAGGTGGAAAAAAGTGCAAAATAACCAAAATTAGAAAAATCATAATAATTGACAAAGAAAGCACCAAAAGGGGGGAAAATGAGAAAAAAAAGCTTTGCAAAAAAAAGTTGAAAACAAAAATTTAAAAAAGGCTACAAAGCACATGCAACAAAAATTGATCAAAAAAACTGGGAATGAAGAGGCCAAAAATGCTACCAGAAAAAAGGAAAATAAAAACAGATCAGAAAATGTAAAAACCTATAAAGACGCTATTAAAAAGGGACAAAAACAGCCAAAAAAGAGACAACAAAATAAAAAAATAACAGCGACAAAAAATATGAAAAGAATAGACATTAAAAAGGGGAAAGAAAAGGGACCAAGAAAACACGACAAAAAATGTACCATTTTAAATGCGTTTTAAGTTTCTAAGTATAAAAAAACAATCACAATTGAGATGGGGTGGGTGGGCGGGGTTTATATTTTGCCCTTTTCTCTTAATATACATAGTATTCTTTGAACAACACGATACTCAAAAACATGTTTTTAATTTCTTGTAAAGAAATAAGTAATTGCAGATAAGTTTCGCCCCCTCGACTCACGACGAATAAAAAAAATCACCAGAATTGAGATCGGGCGGGTGGGCGGGGCTTCCATTTTGCCTTTTTGTTTCAATATGTGTAGACTTCTTTTCGCAACAAGAAACCTAAAACATGTTTAAAATGGAACATTTGTATACGGAAATATCGATTTTGCAATTAGGCTCCGCCCTATAATCCATATTTTCTTGCAAAAATGTACCATTTTAACAATGTTTTGAGTTTCTTTTTGTGAAAAGATGGCTATACATATTAAGAAAAAAAAGGTAAAATATAAGCCCCGCCCACCCGCCCTATCTCAATTGTGATGATTTTTTTATTCGTCGTGAGTCAGGAAGGCGGAGCGTAACTGCAAAATCCTTATTTCTCTACTAAAAATTAAAAACATGTTTTTGAGTATCGTGTTGTTCAAAGAATACTATGAAAATAATGAGAAAAAATTAAAGCCAAAGATTAAATAGAAAAATAACGAAAGTAAAATAGTCGCGAAAAATGCTACAAAAAAGACGACAAAGAAAAATACAAAAAAAAAATAAAAAAACCGTCAAAAAACAGGGGACAAGTAACAAAAAATTCCACAACAAAAAAACACAAACATACCGACAAAAGGGGGAAAGAAAAAAGGTCAAAAAGATGCGACTGAAAAAGGGAAAATAAAGAACATTCCGAAAATGTAAAAAACGAAGAAAAACTGCTAAAAAGAACAACAAATAGCCAAAAACGAGACGCAAAAAAAAGCGAAAAAAATGCGACAAAAAATGAAAAGACGAAGAAAAAGGACCAAAAAACGCGTCAAAAAAAGCACAGAAAGAAAAAACGACAAAAACATAGGACAAAAAAAAACAAAGAAGATAAAAACAGGTTAAAAATGGGGACAACAAAAATTATTCAAAAAAACTGCGAATGAAGAGGCCAAAAATGCTACCAGAAAAAAAAGAAAATAAAAACAGATCAGAAAATGTAAAAGCCTA